GGTATCCCCAGGCTAGACGAACCTCATTCCATCCCGCTCCGCCGCATCTAGGAAAATGTGGAACTGAAATCCAACAGCCCATCCTTTCTTCACGTGACCTCGCCAACCAGGCATGTTTCCCGAGGGTAAACTAGCCCCATCCTCGCCGTAGGCCTCTCTCCCACCCCCTTCCTCGTTCTCCCCGCCCCTCAGAAGAAGTCGGGAGCTAACCCCACCCAACGACACAGAGACCACACACATCGAAACAACATTCAAATCGAATACAACAACCAGCAATTCGCGCCTTTTTAATCGTAAAATTCATACAGGATCACTGGGAAAACATTGCGGATCATACTCGTGAAATCCCCAGAAATATGATTGGCAGCGCTGGCTATCTCTCCGTCTTGGACTGTGAGGGAAGGAAAAAAGAATGGAGGGAGGGGGTTGGGGGGAGGGGCTTGGGGAATATTACCCTTAATTGTGGTGCACGGGGCAAAGCTTAGCCTCTCTTTTTACACGGGTGAAGGGAGACTCTTTAATTGCGGGTACTCAGGGATAGACATAATCTGTGTGTTCCTGAGCTGTCAGGGAGGGAGATCTCCTTAATTGTGTGGTGCCCGGGGACGAATACCTCCCCCTCCCTTTACCCTCAGCGCTGTGAGAGAGCCGGACTCTCCAATAAGTTTGTTGCCTGGGGACGGATACATTTTATTTTTGGGCTCTGAGGGACAAGGATCCCCTTAATCGTTGCATACAGGAACGGATATCTCATCCTTTTGCGTTGTGAGGGAGGATTATCCCCTCCCTCTACCACCTCTCCGGTGTCCCCCCCCCCTTCCGTTATGATACTGAATGACAAATATCTCTTCTTTCTGTGTCAGGAGAAGCTTCCGACCATGGTACCCGGGTTGAATATCTTCTTCCTGAAGGATGGAAAGAGGAAAAAAACCCGTTCGTCTGAAGGGGAGAATTATGTTAGGAAATTCCTCAAAGCTGGTTTTAAGGAAGTCGAAATTTCCCGATTATCAAAAGGAAGTCGAAATTTAGTCGAAATTTTTTTTTTTTTATCAAAAGGAAGTCGAGATTTCCCGATTATGGCTACTGTAAACAATTATCACATATGGGTACGGGGCAAGGGGG